TCCCCATATGTATATACCCAGTCTTCCAGCTCAGAGTGAATGTGAGCAGTGAGCCGTGCCATATGCCATCAGTGGATGGAGGTTTCAATTGGCTGCATTCTCAAGAGGGCTGCGTTTGGGTAATAAGGATTATTCAGGCTGATTTAAGTGTCCATAAAGGAAGCTGCACAGCAGAAACACTCAAATCTCCAAAATTATACCTTTTTAGCAGTGCAGTAAAGTATCAGGACTTTCCACATTTCTTTGCCTAATCATCATAACACAGGGTTTTCAGAAATGATTTAATCTAGTGGAAAGTGGAGGAGGAGCTGAGGAGAATTCAGAGGGCAGTTCTGGGCCAAAGTGCTGTGGAGATTAGTGTTTACCCTCATCTATCGTTCTGAATTCAGTTCATGAAGGGCTTGCTAATTTGCTGATGAGCTGAATCAGGTGTGCTTAATGAGGCTGTGTGCTGAAATCTGCAGTGTTTTGACCCATGAGGACTAGATCCTGACATGTGCTATAGATAGAGAAAAACAGTGGCTGCATCCAAAACCACATACTATCATACTAATTAGTACATCAAAACTAGTACGCCACCATTAGAAGCCCATTTACTGTATAGTATGTATAGTATAGTAGTATTTATCTGTTGTTTTTGTACACAGCCAGTATCTCTCTCACACATGTAAAGATCCACAGAAGCAAACACAGTTTGTACACAGTTGTGGTCAGGAGTGCCTTTATAGAACAGTGCTATTGCCCTCTAGTGTCGACACTGCTCCTTTTAATAGACCCCAAACCCTGAGGTAATGCCATCTTTAAGATTCTAAACTTTTAAACAACACCACATTTATGTTCATAAATGAAAGATGCGATATTTTATTATGATTTGAATTAGAGGTGGGCGATATGGCAAATGTGTAATATCGCGATATTTCAAGAAATTTTCACAATACACAATATGTCACAATATTTATTTTTTAGATGTCTTCCCTGCTAGAAAAATGGGCTTAGACCAGCGTGCATGATCACCAGAAAAAAACAGCATATGTTGAGTTATGGATGCTGGGATGCTGGTCAACAAGTTTGACCATGATGGGTGACCAGCTACACCAGCACCAGACCAGCTTAGACCGGCATGGAATTATGCTGGTTTGTGCTGTTTTTTTTCAGCAGGGTGATCAGTTGGAATAGAGAAAAAATAAACCAGTACTGCTATATTTAAAAAAACATTCTATCAAAACTGTGAACGCAATGATTTTTATTCAATATTTGGCATAAAATCCATTTAAACAGGACTAATTTTGCTCTTTTTATAATGAAACATGTAGTTGGTCAGTGTTCTACAAGGATGACATTACAGTATGTCCACGATATGTTCAGAAAAGCACAGTGTATTGTATTATGACATAATTTATCATGATAACAATATATATAGTCATATTGCTCGGCTCTGTTTTTGATGAAATTTGATGAAAAGTTAATATTGTACATGCTACCCAGTTTTGCCATGTTTTTTTCATTGTTTAACAAAAAACAGAATGTAAACCGTTAAATTGATCATGATAAATATGTCTTTGAATAGTGATGATATCAAATATCATGATGTTACGTATTTATTATATAACCCACCCTTATCTAATTAACTATGTGATTGCATTATTCCATTTAAACAGCAAAGTAAAAAAGACAACAATAACTCTAGACTATAGTCCTTCATGGTGAAACCATTCCTGATTATGGCCTCCTCCCACACTGTGATGTAATGCCAAAACTCATTTGGCCAGTCAGAGGGCTATCGTTCAGAAACTGCTTGTATCCAAGAATAATTTACAAAGTATATGTATGCTGGTATGTATATATATGCTGGTATAAGCAGCACAAGTGAGCTGGACAATGAAAAAATAATAAATAAAATGGTAATTAGCTGTCTATCTTTTTTTCACCCTTTTAACCTCTGTATCTAGATGTGTTTACATTTGGAGAAATCCAAAGACTGTTTTCATTTCAGTGTCTGTTGAAACTGTTTGATGTTGTTATAAGTATATTGGTATGTGCCACGATCTTGTACCAGTCATTTTGCTGTTTATTTGTTGGGTAATGACAAGAATGTGAGCCCACGATAGACCCTCAAAATGACAGCATCCCTATATACATTACTAAACATATTCAAGAGTGATTCTAAGAACAGGGGCTTTTCTCCAAAACACGCAGTCTAAGAAAGACTGACGCTGATCTGATAGCAAAGGGAGGGCTGACTAAGATTAGCTAGGCCAACTGGATATTAATATAGTGTTTGGTATTTCTGCTATGCACACTCCATGTAAGTTTCATATTTATGCTTCAGTAATTAAGCAGATGTTAAACAGGTTAGCAGATTTAAAAGCAGTAAAAATAAGCCCTGGAGTCTACTGTCACATCTTAATAAGGAAAGAGCCAATAATATAGCTTGTAATCATGTCAACACAACATTGATAGATGAGAGGCCTACACCTTTATACTGTTACCTCTTTATGGAGAAAGTCCTTAAGCCATCAGCCTTCAGCTTTGAGTCCAGCTTTTTGATATCTCTTTGTTTGTTGTGATGTTTAATAGTTCTGACTACATTGTATGTAGCTTATGATGGTGCAGCGTTATTAGAGAATGCTGTTTTTCCAATCTGTACCTTCATGACTGAATTGTCCTGCAGATAATTACAGATTTATGGACTTTGCTTATGCAGGTGATGAAAGAATGACTTGCTTGTCTGTTTCTTAAAGTACTGTACCAGACTGGAATTTTTCCGACCTCTCTGCCTAAAAATAAAAAAAGACAAATAATGGTTTTGATAATTAACAAACTTCCAGTGCATATATTCACTTTGAATTTGTATGTATTTCATATTTATATATTTATATATGCCTGTTGGCTTTGTACTCATAAATATGAATGTAAAATAGGCATAAGAGCATAAGTTAACACATCCTCTACAGAGAACACACTTAAATCTGACATTTTTCAGCAAATGTTAGTGCACAGTTTCCATTTATTTGCTTTTTGAGTTGAACATATTGGAAAAAGATTTTGCCACATAGATACGTATGCAATATGTAAAAAAAGCAAATAAACAGTAATTGCACATACAAATGAAAAAAAAAATGTTTTTTGCATTTTTAAATACATATTTGGTGTCACTTTTGAGTTTACTGAACCTCCAACAGTAAGTTAACAGAACATAAATCTTTCTTGTATGTTTTGCACTATGCAAAAGTCTTAGGCATCAGAGAAAAAGCCATGTGGGCAGTGAGTATGTTATTTGTTCAAATAATAACATTAGTACAAACACAAATGAACAAATAAACAATGAGTTGTGTATTAGGACTTAAAGGATAAAACTACGGAGCCCTGGTGGTGACATCACGTATAAATAAAAATAATGCATGACCATGACTTAGTAAGACATGATAATGACATAATTAAGCCTTGATCACAGCTTAATAAGACATGATCTCATTCCCACACTTTACTATGCCACAGCCACAATTTAATTGCTACGTTCCCACACCTGACTAAGGATACATTTGGATCTCCTTCCCATGCATTAATATGGGGTGGCCACACATTATTGTTATTCATACATAATATCACCAGCAGGGCTCTGTAGAATCCCAATGTTTTTATTTCTGGAAAACTCAATCATTAAGATGTACACAACAGCATTCAGAGTGATTTGATGTGAAATGCTCTGTTGTAGAGAAACTTGCAGAGTCAGAATGATTCACAGTGGTGGTGGTGACATCTGTAACGTGTAGTGCTTCTAAAAGCTCCCTTAAGAAAGTGGAATGGTTAAGAATTCTTTGTTGTAAGCCTGATTGCACTGCATGATTGTTTTGTGGAACTTATGAATGAATTAAGAATTTGACCTAAAAATCCATTTTTTTAATACATGCGGAGTGCTCTAAGGAAAAATAGTTCACAAAGAAAGCATTTTAACACTATTTTAACATTGTCAACATCACATAAAAACTCAGGATCAATGATAGTAACTCATAAAGGTTCATGTAGGGTCACTGATCTGGTCACTGTACTGGTCCCTGAAGTTTCTCTACAAATAAATCATTTCACATCAGGCCTCTCTGAATGATTTTGTTTACATCTCAATCACTCAGTTACGCACACTTTAACAAGTCCAATGTCTAGAGTCCACTGACAAGTCAGGAACCAGACCTGTGTTCTTCTAACCAAGACAGCAATGACTTTAAAACAAAAAACAAACAAACAAACAAAAAAATCTCATACTGCATTTGTGTTTAATGTATTTATTCTGAGATTATATAGTGTTTTCACTGGAAAAACACATTTATTGCTGAGATAAATAATTTTAAACAATTTTGTTGGCTGCCTAAGACACACACACACACACACACACACACACACACACACACACACAGAGAGAGAGAGAGAGAGAGAGAGAGAGAGAGAGAGAGAGAGAGAGAGAGAGATGTAGAGGTGTAGAGGAGTGCCACAGCCTGACAGAGTTAGCACAGTGATGTTGGCACCATCAGTCAAATGTAGTGAAATGTATATATATATATATATATATATATATATATATATATATATATATATATACATATATAAACAGTCAATTCATACAATACATAATACTTTTAATATGTGTGGAACTAAATGTATGAAATATCTATCTATGTAAATTCCTTGTGTATGAACTGAACTGTGTGTGTGTATGACAGAGAGAGAGAAAAAGAAAGAGAAAATGAGAAAGAGAGATAGAGAGAGATATAGAGAGAGAGGATCTATATTATGTAATAGTACATGGTAAAGGTTGGAAAATAAGTTCAGTATCTTATGCATGCACTTTTGTGCATTATTAGGTATTATTTCATGTGTTCATTTTAATATGGAAATAAATAATTGTATAACATGTAAATTCACGTCACAGTGTTTTTTTTTCCTTTTTTCGTTTCTCTCTGAGGACGGTTGGCAGCGCGCATGCGTATGGAGATGAGACGCGGACTGGAGGAGAGCGCTGAGATGATGATGATGATGATGAGGGTGAGGATGAGGATGATGATGATGGGCGTGTGAGCCGCGCGCCAGGAGCAGTCCACACCGGGCACCAATGCTTAGACGGTAAGTCGCGCTAAAATGAGCAGATTAACGCGCTGTGACTGTTCAGGTTCGGTGCTGCTGCTCGAGTCTCGCCGTCGAGTGAAGGAGCGCCGTCAAACACCGAGCAGCTGCACTGATGGACGGAGCGGAGTGGAGGGGAATTTCAGCGCCCCAGCCTTTCATGCTCGAATAACGAGCTCAGACCTGAAAGGGCTGTAAATAACTGATATTCGGTCGGTGAGCAGTGCTGGTGTTACACATACAGAGCTACAGCTTTACAGCCTGAACCGAGAGCCGTTTTCTGTAGGATATGTGCTGCTATGCTTTATGGCCTATTGGACGTGTTTATGTGCTTCTTAAATGCAGTGAATTTTCCTTGACTGGGTATGACTCGCCTCAGTTTCTCAATTTACAGACTGATTCAGGCACAGAGTCTTTCACAGAAAACATATTTGCTGTGCTGCTTTTGTAAGAACATGAAGAAATGAGAATCGTAGATGATCAAATGTAGAAATGAATGGAGCAGCCATTCAGTGTATGTGTTGTGGTGGTGTGCTCAGGTGCTGTGTTGTAATTGATCTCAATGGATTTTAGTCATTGCTACATGCCTGCTGTGTATTGTGGCATGCAGGCTTCCTGCTGGACTAGTCCCACTGGACAGCTGCTTAAATTAATTAAGAATGTTACAGCTTTCAATGCTCCCACACTAAATTACTGTACTAATTGCAGTACATGCACCTGTTTGACTGCACTACACTGTGTAGGACTGGATATTACATTTGTGTAATGAGCTAATGGACTATGTAGTTCATGCAGTGTTCCCCGTACCAACAAATGTAGCTGATAAACCAAGACATGTTTAGAGTCTGAAGTTTGTTTCTGTAGTTTTGCACTGGAACTATGGGGCTAATGTAGCTAACAAGTATTGGGAGATGAAACTGTGCTGTGTTGTTAAGTAATGCCACATATGCTTGCTTATATGGTTATTAAGGGGTCAGAGATTCACAGAGTAAAAAAAAACAGCTGTGTTATTAGAGCAATGAGCAATTTAAAAGTGCAACATTTGAAACAAAACCTGTGCTTTGTCTCAATCTGATGTTTTATTCACAGATTAATATGTTAGACCAAAGCTAACATCCTTGCCACAAGCTAACATGCTACAATCATGATACAATCGTTGGCCATGAGAGTCACACAGCGAGGCCAGATCTCATGATCTCACACCAAATCGTTCAAATCTCATGCACTACTGAAAATTTTCTTGCTTAAAACTAATTTAACAAGTGTATTAGTATATAGACGTATAGCATGGACCATTGTGTTCTGTGCAACATCAGTATGTGGTTTAGACAGTAGAGTGCTCAAGGTTGTATGTTCATGGCCTATGGATTGCGTTACAGATAGAGCCATGAAACTGTCTTAATATCAAGTTCAGTTTGGCTTTTTCAGTATTTTGCCAGATTAACCTGAATGTTTAGTTTATCACAAAACAGCAGGGCAGTAGAGGGCAGTATTACTGACAGTTTAGGTCTAAATCATGGTATAGTGTATTTATGTATTTTTTTTTCAAGAAAAACCATTTTGGATGCTTAATTAAACCTTTTTTGTAGATTGTATTGTTCTGGATATCTTTTCATAACCATATTTAATAACTGAAGTAAATCTAAAATAGTTTTATTGGGCAAAACAGTAAAGACAGAAATGAACAATATATAACACAGATTTCAATATTTCTTTCTAACCATAACGAGATAAAGGCAAGCAGAGGTAAAGCCCACAGCAGCTACTCTGAGCGCGGCAAAATGTGTATGAAGCTGACGTAAGCTTCTGTTCCACCAGCTTCTTTGAATTTTCCCGTACCTTACATGTAACTGCTGCACCATTTAGGTGGAACTGCTGGAATTTAGTAATTATTACAGGCCCTTCACACTATCAGTTTTAGCTGAAAAGCTGCGGAGCCTCTCGACTTGTAGGCCGAGATCGCAGTGTTGCCTGAAGCTGCTGACTAAGCGAGGAGCGCTGGCTAGTCTCCATGCTTGGCTAATGGCTAATGGCTAACCCCAAGAGACTGACTTTTCCTTCCACACTCTCACTTTCCCCCGTTAACTCATTAAGTCATTATAATCTGCTTTCTGCTCCTTTGACAATAAACTGGACTAACCTGAGGCTGCAACTCACTACATGTAAGGTGAGTAAATCAGTGTGTTTTGCATTGTTTGTATGCTGCATTATCTACATTTATGTGCCTACTGGTGCAACAGTAATGACAAAACTAATATCTTAAGAAGAATTGCAGCTGGTATACTGGATGCACCATTATATTGCCCACTGCTGCACAGGAACAGATCATTTTTCAGTCACTCAGATTGTGTCATTGTTCATTTTTTAGACAAAAGCATGTTACACAGTGTCAGAAACTACAATAGCCTCATAGCTCCAGTGTGAGACTAAAGAAGCAAACTTCAGGCACTTAACATGTCTTGGTTGATCGGCTGTGTTTGGGGTAAGGAAAACTTTGGGTTGTAAATTTGATTTTTGGCCAAATGGCTTTAAATACTTTAAGTTTTACTTTTGGTCCAGTGTTGTAGGTTTCTATTTAACTTTAGATGGTGGACACACTACTCACATCACCTGACCCATCATATGATTGTTTACTTATGATTACATTAGGAAAATGATGTTAAATGTTCATTCAATATGCAAAGCATTCATATCTTTAAACAAACAGGCTGAACTATCAAACCTCTTTTCACCAAAAATATTCACAATTATAACATCATAACAATGTTGTAACTGGCTTCTTTATCAACTTCATTTCACAACATTTGGTTTTATATAAAAGTGTTCATCAACCTCAGCAATAGAAACTGACTAACATTAAATCATTAGTATCATTGTATTTCCTAAAACAATATACTTCTAAACAACTAGCTTCATTGTGATCGGCATTACCTACAACAGAGCTCAAAACCCGACTCTGGTCCAAAACTGAACTCTGGCAACCCTAGTTAGACATACGTAGGTGTCACACAGACAGAGCAGTACACTATTAGATGTAGGAGCACTTTTCTTGGCTTAATAAAGTAAATAAACCTGCTAGACCTACTGAACTAGTTAGCTAAACTTACAGTAGTCTTTTTAATTCAGGGGAGATCAACGCTACATGACAAGCACACAGCCTCTTATATTATCACAGGTAGTCTGCTTAGTTCAGCCCACATTTAAACATCCTTGACAGTCTTGAACATCAGAAAAGTTGAGATCGGTCAGTTTGGTACAGTAAAGGAACATGAAAGATGCTGACTGTATACAGACTCCGGTTTACGTGTGTATAGGGACATACAGACATGATGAAAAATAGGAATTTAAACTGTTTCTAGCTGTTTTATATATATATATTGGTTGTTATACATATATATATATATATATATATATATGTTTAACAACCAAAAGCGGTCACATCTTACTATTAAAAAGTCTGGAGTTGGGGGGACAGTTCATCCTCCTCGAAGCATCAAAGGAGACGCTTCCTATGTCCTCTAAGTCTATAACTATGCTTTTGTCACTGTCATAACAAAACTGTTTCCAAAATGAGAATTTTATAGGAGAAGCAATAATTGTGCTTAACTGTAATTGATGTTAATGTCACAGGACTTTATTCCATGTAATGTTTGGCCATTTCTATTGGTCTGTTAGTCAGCTGGTGTTTTAAAACAGTTGGGAAAATGTGGAGTTATGAGGTTTTGATATGATAGTGAAACTTTGTTGCTGTGATGGTTGATAAAAGTTCTTGTTCTGCTGCAGCTCATGGGGTCAGAGCGGGTGGAGATGGGGAAACGTCCACAGCAGGACACTCGGAACGCCGGCCACACAAGGATCGCCCCTTCCAACGCACACATGCTGGACAGCGTGAACACACACACTCTGGGTTGGCTGAATGCACCCCCCAACGCCTGCTGCTTCTGCTGGTGCTGCTGCTGCAGCTGCTCCTGGTAAAACACTCACGCTTCTGCCTGTCTCTGGACAGCACGCCACACGTTCCGTACTCTACACATATACAGACTACAAAGTGCAGAACGTGTCACGATAGCTTTTTAAAACAGGCGCTCACAGAGTCTGCACTCAAATCAGTTTATACAGAAAGTAAATAAACCAGACCCACATTTGAATCAAACCAACCGATGTTCTTTGATGCCAGTACTTCTCCCACGATTCTATTTTTGTGGTCATAGAGTTTTTTTCTCTGCAGTTCTATTTTGTTTTAGTTTGTTGAGCAATGGACATTATTATTTTAATTTCTTTTTCATGCTATTTTACATGTTGTAATTTTATCATAGTAAAAAGGGATTTTTTTTACTGCTAGTTTTCATTTTAGTAAAAGTTTCTGTTAACAATAAAAGCCTGATGGTCAAATTGTAAAAAATTGGAAGGCAAATGAAGAGTTCAAATACTAAGTTTAAGTAGTAACATACATAAATATTAATATTTACATATTTGGTTTTTACAGCAACATTGGCTACCAAGCTTGCACTCTATTTTAGTTAATGTGATATAGAGTTCTAAGAGAAGGCTTCCAAGATTATAAGCTTATTCAGTTGTATGCAATGTTTGGGCACCTTTAGCAATGTTGTTACTTAACTAACTAATATTTACTTAATTTAATATTTAATATAATTATTGAATAGTTAATTACTAAATTGTGTTTAGTTGTTTTTGTTTGTAGGCACAATAATTTGACATCCTCTACAGACAATGTTAATATGATATTCTTCTGTACATTTTATGGCACAATTTCTGTTTATTTTCTGAGTTTAACATATTTAAAAAAAGAAAACATCAAATGTAAAAATTGCCTTAGCTTTTACACAGGCCACATTTTTTCCGATATGTTAAATTCAGCAAATAAACAGTAACTGTGCATTAAAATGTGCAGAAGTGAGTTCTCTGTAGAGAATGTGAAAAAATCATCAAAACATTTGACCACAGGTGCCCAAACATCTGTTTTTATTGTTTCATTAGGTCTAGATATATTTTACTTAATACTGGTTATAATAGGCTACCTGCTTTTTTCTTTCATTTTAAAGAAAATCCACAGACCTTGCCGAATTACAAGTGGTAGCTTCTGAATATGAAGGTTCAGTCATCTTGACGGCATCACCAGTGAAAAGCTAAAGCGCACATTTCTGCAGAGCTCCCGAGTCTGTGCACGTGTGCTCTGCCGATCGTAACTTATGATTTAACCTGAAGAGCTCCAAACACATTCAGGAAAAATTGGTGTTTAAATCTCAAATATGGATGAACTTGAAATATAGATAATAGACATCTAATGTAACATCACGTAACAACATCAATCCAAAGGGGATGGAAAGTCATTTTTTGAGTCTTGTTTATGCGCTACTGAAGGCTGTGAATGTACTGTGTGCGTGTATGTTATTATTTTGTATGAGCAAGTGTTGGGGAGGGGGGTCGTGGATTTGGTGCAGGTGTGCTGGGAACATTCATTAAGCTTTAGGACGTTTGTGGTGTGATCCCAGCGGAAACACACACGTACAGACCTGTATACACAGCGGAATAGTGCTTACTCTCGAGTCTCGCACTAAGCGTGTGTTTGTAGTGTAGATAAAAACATGTTGTTGCATTATATGCATGTGTGTATAGTCTTACAGCACGTCCTTCCAAGGATGAAAGGATTCCGGAGAGGATCTGTGAAAAACAAACTGAGGCTGAGGTTGAGGAACTGTAAGTACCAGCGTCATTGCAAACTGTTACTGATACTCCACATGCACATATGTGTGTTCCAGTCAGTTCTGGTGTCCAGCAGGTAAATTACTAAACTAAGCTGGACAACAACTCTTCATATATATATATCCGGGATTCCAGGACCTGCAGATGAAAAAGATGAAAAAGATTTTTACGCCAGATGTAATTGGACCTGTGTCTTCCTAAAAGTTTGAAATATTTTTTTTTTCAATAATATAAAAACTTTTTGGTTACAGACAAAAAACAGGTTTCAAATAATTAGGCAGATGTACTTATTTTATATGGGTTCAAAATGATTAACAGAGCTGTAAATGATCTTAAAATTGAGTACATTGAGTCGCTGCCATTAGCATGCAGTGCTGTGAAGATAAAGACAACATAAGTAAACACAAAATGCAGCTTTTAAATGATCGTTCCATTTATTGAAGATAAAGATTTGTTCAAAACCTATATCACCCTGGTTGTGCCACCCTTGGCAGCAACAACTGCAATCAAACGATAACTTGCAATGAGTCTTTAACATCGCTCTGGGGAATTTTGGCCTGTTCTTCTTTGCAGAACTGGGCTCCGTTGGAGGGTTTTCAAGCATGAACTGCCCGTTTAAGGTCTTGCCACAGCATCTCAATGGGATTCGAATCAGGACCACTCCAAAACCTTCATTGTGTTTCTTTTGAGCCATACAGAGGTGGACTTGCTTGTGTGCTTTGGATTATTGTCCTGCTACATAACACAACTGCACTTGCGCTTTAGGTCACAACCTGATAGGTGGATATTCTTCTTCAGGATTTTCTGATAGAGAAGTCGTCCAGGACCTGCAGATGAAAAGCAGCCCCAGACCATCGCACTACCACCACCATGTTTGACATGTTTACGCCAGATGTAATTGGACCTGTGTCTTCCTAAAAGTTTCACCTTTGACTCATCAGTCCACAGAACATTATCCCAAAAGTTTTGGGGGGTTTTAGATGTTTCTTTCGCAAATGTCAGACGAGCCTTTGTGTTCTTCTTGATCAGCAGTGGTTTGTGCCTTGCAACTCTCCTATGGATGCCATTTTTGCCTGGTGTCTTTCTCATTGTTAAACTTAACTGAGGCAAGTGAGATCTGCATTTCTTTAGATGTTCTGGGTCTGGGTTCTTTTGTGACCTCCTGAGTGAGTTGTCGATGCACTCTTGGTGAAATTTTGGTAGGCCGGCTCACTACTGTTCCAAGTTTTCTCTATTTGTGGATAATGGCTCTCACTGTGACTCGCTGGAGTCCCAGAGTCTTAGTAGTGGCTTTGTAACCTTTTCCAGACTGGTACATTTCAATGACTTTGTTTTGCATCTGTATTTGAATCTCTTTATAACGTGGCATCACACGCTGCTTCTAGCCTGCTTCACCCTCCCAGACAGTTACTATTTAAGTGATGTTTAGATTCAACAGGTCTGGCAGAAATCATGCCTGGGTGTAGATAGTGAAATTGAACCCAATAGCCAAATGAATTTGGTTAACTTGTAGATATAGTAGCTAAGGGTACAATTACTTTTTAACAGCTGGACAGCATTTTTCCTTCAATAAATGAAAGCTTCATTTAAAAACAGCATCTTCTGTTTACTTGGGTTATCTTTGTCTAATATTAAAAGTAGTTTGATGATCTGAAACCGAAAGTGTGACAAATGCAAAAATAGAAGAAATTGGGAAGGGGCAAATAATTTTTCACAGCACTGCACAGCACACAAAAATGTATGTAACAAGTTATTATATAAATAGATTTTACATTTTACATTTACCTACATTACTGGGCAAAAGTCAGAGAACATTCTTCATTTATATCATTTCCAGTCAAAACCAGTTTTTCATTTTTCAGGAGACATTTTTGAGGAGGTTAGATATCAGATAATCTACATGAAATAGAAAGGTGAAAACAAGTAAAAATGAAAATAAGTAAATAAAAAAAATTCCAAAACTGAAGTTCAGAAAATGGGTCTTCTAACAACTGCGCAAGACCAGGTAGAGCACCAAAACTGGCATCATCTGATAAACAGTACTTAAAGTTTTCATCTTGGAGTGGATATGTTTTCTGCTTTTTTTCTTACACTGAAAAATGAATAGCTTGTACCTAAAGGCTGTTTTGAGAAATTAAATAAATGAAAGTGTGGTCTCTGACCATTGCACAGTAGTGCATAAAGAAATGAATAATGTCCATGTGTGAGAAATAATGCTTTAATTGTTTTGAGCAGGTGTAAATCAATAGAAGACTGTACTAGTGGTTAAATCAGAAGTGGAACGCAATCTTACATGGAGTGTTTCCTTTATTTGGCTGTACAGACGTGGTCCCACGCTGGAAGACGTGCGTTTGTGGTCGCAGTCATTTGAACAGTTGATTAAGAGCCCTCACGGCCGCGCTAACTTCCGGCAGTTTCTGAAGACGGAGTTCAGTGAGGAGAACCTGCTGTTCTGGCTGGCCTGTGAGGAGCTAAAGAAAGAGACCAACCGAACTGTGGTGGAGCAGACTGTTAAGCAAATATACGAGGACTACGTCTCTATACTATCACCCAGAGAGGTATGTTTACATCCATACACACACAAAACATTTAGTCAGACTTATGAAATCTGTGTCTCCATAGTTAGAAATGTGAACATTTATTCTGGGGTTACATTTCTGACCTCGCCTCGATCCAATTTAGTGATGATTTTTTAGGAAACAGTTTAGTGCATCATGAAATGTCATTTTAATTTGATTATTATTGATGTCATTTTGATTTGATTATAGTGGCACACTAAACTACTGCAGGAAATATTCACACAGGAAAAAAAAAAATATTTACACAGTAGTGGAATACTACTTATGGGTTATAATCAAATGTTTTAAACATCTAATAATAGCCCATAAAAGAGAGGGGCAAATACTTTATTTGAATACTATTATTACCTTTTATAATCAATGACTTGATGAATTGCTGAAACGCAGTTGAATCACAGCCTTCAGATCAGTGCCTTTTAAACCCCTAACCTAAAAATATTTCCTGGAACAAATGGCCATTAAAAATCATAAACTAACTGCAAATGAAAAAGAGTACGGTACTGTGCAAAAACTGTGTTTTGCTCTGTGTAGGTGAGTCTGGACTCTCGTGTGCGGGACGTGATCAACAAGAACATGCTGGAGCCGACCTCACACACCTTCGATGACGCGCAGCATCAAATATACACACTCATGCAGCGAGACTCCTACCCACGATTCATCAACTCCAACGTATACGCAGATCTTATGAAAAGTTTGGAAGAACCTCAAACACCCAACGAGTCCTAACACACACACACACACCCACACACACACACGCACACACACACACACACAAACATGCACACACTTATTGCAGTCATAGAGCAGCCTGATGCTTCTTGACACATCTGCAGTGAAACTACTGTGTAATAAGTAAACATGCCCGAATCCCAGCAAAAAAACCTCATAAAATGAAATGTGAGAAACATTTCCAAATAAGATACTGGCGACTCTAAATCGGGCTAAAATTGACACCATACATTACTTATACACTGTCTGAAAAAAGGGTACTGGATGGTTACATTTTTGTCTATCTAGGTACAAACAATGTAATTATACCCTCAAAGGTAAAACAGTGGTCCTTAAGGTCCGACTCCGTACCTTAAATGAGTTGTAAAGGACACTACATTCACCGTATCAGAGGAAAGGTGCATATTTGTACCTTTTCATAACCAAAAGTCTTAAGATAGAAAAATAAAATAAATTAGTCTGGAGTCAGGACAGGGTGTATGAAGTCTGTACAACATAAAAAACGTAATTGCAACAAAATGTGGTACAATTATGTTCCCTAACTGAAGACTGAAGACGTACCCTTGAGGGGACCACTCCACTGACCAGAGGGGGGACCACCCTAATGACAGTTTAGTACCTTTTTTTCTGAGAGTGTACACAGCACCTAGAACACACTCACTTTACAATGTCTCTATGTACTGTAATGCGGTTCCTGTGTATTTTTATAACACTTCAACTCCACTGAATTATTTAGTTGTTGACTGAAAAGGGAAAATGTTAGTGTCTTGCTTTGGTTTTAAGGTTCCACAAATTATATAAAGATATATTTGACTATTTTTCTGCCTCAGTTCTGCAAAAGGCACTGATAATGGCAGATGCATACTTGTGCCTTGCTATACACATAGAGGATCTAGATTAAGTATATATAGTTGTACTAAATACACATCTCACGACAAATCAAGGTGCTTTCAATTATACTAGAACAGAAGTTACAATTACATTTAAAACAAATCTACACCCGTCTTTCTCTCTCTCACACACACACACACATAAACATACACACACATACATATATAGATTAAAGCAGAACTGAAATAGATCTCCTTGGACCAATAAAACTCAGTTTTGTGATCTTATATTTCTGACGACATGCATGTTTTTGAAGTTCAGAGAATGCATTTGATATATTCACTTATGTATACCGGGATAAACTGTATAAAGAGAGATAAATCAATAATAAAGCACAAATATTTGCCAATGATTCTGTCAATCATTTGTTTTAGTAAGTGTAATCACCCTACATAGAAGTGGAATAACTACAGGGGGTAAGTGTGTGGGGCCCCTCTTTTTGGGCCCCTGATATAGATGCTGACAGAATTGTACCAATAACTCACAGAAAGATCCTCTTTTTTTTAATAGAGCACTTCACTAATTAGTTTTCATCAACATTACGCAGACAGCACTAATATCTCTTTATCTCACTTTTATTCATATTGCATCATATGCATGAAAACTACTTTCAAACGTAATCCTTCACAACATGATATATTAATCATTTCTAATCTTAAATCTTGAATTCTAAGTCTAAACATTTATAAACACGTGTATACACTGATCAGGCATAACATTATGACCACAGACTGTAGTCCATCTGTTTCTCGGCATACTTTCTTAGCCTGCTTTTACCCTGTTCTTCAGTGGTCAGGACCCCCATGGACCCTCACAGAGCAGGTACTATTTGGGTGGTGAATCATTGTCAGCACTGCAGTAACACTGACATGGTGTTGGTGTGTCAGTGTGTGTTGTGCTGGTACGAGTGGATCAGACATAGCAGTGTTGCTGGAGTTTTAAAACACTGTCCACTCATTATCCACTCTATTAGACACTCCTACCTCGTCAGTCCACCTTGTAAATGTAAAGTCAGAGACGATAGCTCATCTGCTGCTGCACAGTTTGTGTTTGTCATCCTCTAGTCCTTCATCAGTGGTCACAGGACGCTGCCCACAGGACGCTGTCAGCTGGATATTTTTGGTTGGTGGACTATTCTCAGTCCAGCAGTGACATTGAGGTGTTTAAAACTCCAGCAACACTGCTGTGTCTGATTCACTCAGACCAGCATAACACACACTAATACACCACCACCATGTCAGTGTTACTGCAGTGAGAATGATCCATCACCCAAATAGTACCTGCTCTGTGAGGGTCCATGGGGGTCCTGACCACTGAGGAACAGGGTAAAAGGGGGCTAACAAAGTATGCAGAGAAATAGATGGACTACAGTCTGTAATTGTAGAACTACAAAGTGCACCTATATAGTAAGTGGAGCTGATAAAATGGACAATGAGCGTAGAAACAAGGAGGTAGTCATAATGTTATGCCCGGTCGGTGTGTATACAACCTCCTTTCCAAAAAAGTTGGGATGCTGTGAAAAATGTAAATAAAAACAAAATGCAATGACGTGCAAATCATTTAAACCCTATATTTCATTGAAATGCTTCAAAGACAACATATCAAATGTTGAAACTGAGAAATTATATTGTTTTTTGAAAAATATTTGCCCATTTTGAATTTGATGCCAGCAACACATTCCAAAAAAGTTGGGACGGGGGCAACAAAAAGCTGGTAAAGTTGTGTAATGCTAAAAAAACACCTGGTGTTAAATTGGCAACAGGTCAGTAACATGATTGGATATAAAATGAACATCTGAGAGAGGCTGAGTCTTTCAGAAGTAAAGATGGGGAGGGGTTCACCACTCTGTGAAAGACTGCATGGGTAAATAGTGCAACAATTCAAGAATAACATTTCTCAACATAAAATAGCAAAGAACTTTTGCTTTTCATCATCTACGGTACATAATATCATTAAACGTTTCAGACAATCTGGAGAAATCTCTGTATGAAAGGGACAAGGCCAAAAAACAGTACTTGCTGGCTGTGATCTTTGGGCCCCTTAGACAGCACTACATTAAAACCAGACATGATTCTACAGTGGAAATCACTACATGGGCACAGGAACACTTCTGAAAAACACTGTCTATGAGAACAGTTCAGCGCTGCATCCACAAATGCTAATTAAAACTCTTGAATGCAAAGAAGAAACCATATATAAACAGGATCCAGAAATGTTGCCACCTTCTCTGGGCCTGAGCTCATTTAAAATGGACTGAGGTGAAGTGGAAAAGTGTCCTGTGGTCCAACAAATCAAAATTTGAATTTTTTTCTTTAAATCATGGACACTGTGTCCTCCGGGCTAAAGACCACTCAGCTTGTTATCAGTGCACAGTTCAAAAGCCAGTATTTATGATGGTATAGGGGTGCATTAGTGCACATCGCACGGGTGACCTGCATATCTGTGAAGGCACCATTAATGCTGAACTATATATACGTTTTGGCAACATATGCTGCCATCCAGACGATGGCTTTTTCAAATAAAGCCTTGCTTATTTCAGCAAGACAATGTCAAACCACATTCTGCATGTATTACAACAGCATGGCTCTGTATTAAAAGACACTGGGTGCTAAACTAGCCTGCCTGCAGTCCAGACCTTCATCACTGATAACATTTGGTGCATTACACAATGAAAAATTGACAAAGAGACCCTGAACTGTTGAGCAGCTGAAATCCTATATCAGAAAAGAATGGGAAAACATTTCACTGTCAAAACTACAGCAGTGTCACCTCAGTTCCCAAATGCTTACAGAGTGTTGTTAAAAGAAGAGGTGATGAAACAGAGTGGTAAACATGCCCCCTCCCAACTTTTTTGGAACGTGTTGGCATCAAATTGAATTTTGCACATTGAATTTTGTTTTTATTTAAATTTTGCACAGCATCCTAACCTTTTTGGAAATGGGGTTGTATATATATATATATATATATATATATATACAACCCCATTTCCAAAAAGGTTAGGATGCTGTGCAAAATTTAAATAAAAACAAAATTCAATGTGCAAAATTCAATTCAAATATATATATAGATAGATAGATAGATAGATAGATATATAGATAGATATGCAGGATCATTGCTTTAATGCACCTGCATTCTCTTTAATGTATTTTTCAATATATTAAGCAGGCTTTCATTTTCTACATACAAATGTGGCTTTACTCAGCAAATGCAGAACAAGCACATGCTGCAATGCTACAATGTTTTCTTCACTTTGATGTGAACATTACCTGAAGCTGCTGCATGATTTTATGCATTGCGCTGCTGCCACACAATAGACTGATTAGATTATTGTATGAATGAGTAAGTGTACAGGTGTTCCTAATAAAGTGCTCAGTGAGTGTATATCTTTGAGTGTTAATAGAGCTTTCATAGATGTGCAAGATACCCACCAATACCCCCCCATACCATGACAGACCCTGACTTTATGACGGTTATCTGGATGGTTCTTTCTTTTTTTTCCTGGAGAACACGACTGCCATTATTTCCATAACCAATCTGAAAGGTTGACTCGTCAGACCACAATAGACATTTCCATTGTGCATCAGTCCATTTTAGATGAGTAAAGATGATGAGAAAAGATGAGATGCGGTGATATCCATCACAAAATTATGCGTTTTTATTGAGGAGGATCTGAAGAATCGAAGGTCATGGGAGTTCAGTTGTGGTTTTTGCCTTGCAGAGATTTCAGCATCTCTCCAGCATCTTCTATTAAAAAAGCTCAGTGAAAAGGTTGTTTTGTTTTCTTTTTGTTGGATTTTTCTGCGGATGATTTTTGGCAAAGAGGTAACCTTCAACCCCTCCTTGTTCATAAAGGACTCTTTCCTGGATGCTCCTTTTTTACCCAAGCATGATTACATTACCTCTTTTAAAATGTTTTGCAGACATCAATTTTAGGATGAGTGTATGTTTACAGAAAAACAATGAACTTGGTAAGATAAAACAAAAAATATCTTGTCTTTGTACTATTTACATTTAAATACAGATTTAAGTGGATTTACCCATCACTGCTTTCTGTTTTTATTTGCATTTTACCTACTGTCCTAACTTTTTTTTGGAATTGGGTTTGTGAGGAGAATCCCACAAGGAGAATTCCACCAATTTTTCAAAATTTCTATATAATAAAACTGTAACATTATAAACAAAGTCATTCAAAGTGGTTTCATGTGAAATGCTTGGTTCTAGAGAAACTTAGTGAGTCAGAATTGTTCACAGTGGTGCCGACAGGAACTAGATGTCTAAAGAATTTAATGCCTCTAAAAGCTCCCTCACAAAGTTACTACATAAAATGGTTATGGATCTGCTGCCTGAGGCCTGAGACACTGTTTTATGATAGTCTTGAAATAATTTTTGGACCTAAAGCTTTCTTTTTAATTCTATTAATGATGCACAGGTACATGCAGGGTGTTATAAGGCAAAACAGTGATCAAAGAAAATCCAAAACTCAGAAGACATTTGCAGGTTCACTGCTGATTTTGGATATTAAATAAAATGCCTATATTTGAGACATTGTGATCTCTGGTTCCTATCACCACCATTGTAAAGAAATCAGAGTCTGTAAATTCCACATCAAACCACTCTGAATGGTTACATCTCAACAATTACACAAAAATGTGGAAAAATCTGTGAAGTTTCCCTTTAAGTTCCCATTGTGCACCTTAATGAGATTTTACCCTTAAAGATATTTTTGTGAAAAGTGTGCAAAACTAATGCATTTTAGAAAAAGAGTGCAGTGACAAATACTGCTGCTTTCCTGCTTGTTGCATATACATAGATATAGTCAGACTCTAGACAAAACTAAAAATGTGTAAACATCAGAAACCTTCCACACAAAAAGACTAAACTGCAATCAAAAGGCATTGTTCATTTCTTTTATTTAAATCAACTTGACATTAGGAGCCCTTTTCCCCCAAACCAAACACTGTCCTATTATCAGATGGCTTTGTAACTTTAGCTAATGCCCTACAGTTTAGACTACTGTGTTACATGAGCCCTACAGTAGTCTTAGAAACTGTGTTTCTGACGAGTGACATATCTGTGACGACAAAACCTTAGCCTGAGCAAGAGGTTAGTGTCACACCGTCAGAGGTTACTATGGCAACGTTGTTCGTGGCTGACTCTGAGGATATGATCCAGGATGGTTCCAGTTAGGCTTAGTATTAAAGTTAATACTATTTCACATTTAGTCCAAGTTGGGTTGGGGGTGTTTTGCTGTGTTCAGTCAGATGAAGAAATAGCAGCTGGAGAGAGTCTGGGATTATCGATCAGTACAAATGATCCATCAGGCTTTCCTAATTAGTCAATCGGAGGAAGATGCTTCTCAATGAATTGTTTTATATCCATCATTTCCTGTTGAGTGAAAAGACAAAACAGAAGTTTTAATATAAATCTGGATTCTCAAAGTTTCTGGCTGTATTATCTTGTGTATTAACTCAACAGAACTCCTACACTGTTTAAATGATGCTATATACTTCAAACCATTCCCAAAGCTGAAAATCAACAGGAGTGCATGATAGGCAAGTTTAATTAATCAGACCTCAGGGCAGGCGCTATGAGGCATCCTGGGATACGTTTTGAAGGTGATGCTGTTGGGGTTCAGCATGGTCTTGAGTTTCTCCACCGTGAGACAGCCGAAGATCAGTGGAACCAGAGGATCTGCTTCCCCATGACACTGTAATATTGCTATTTCCTTATTACTGCCAATCACTGACTACGAGAGAGAGAGAGAGAGAGAGAGAGAGAGAGAGAGAGAGAGAGAGAGAGGATATATGCATGATCTCAATAATCTCACAACCACACTACAGATAAAAATATAATTAATAATTAAAAGACCCCCTCCGACACACACACGTAAAGGCATGCATACCCATGTGTTGTTATACAATATCAGGATGTCGGGTCATAAACACCAATGAGCCAAAACATTACGACCACTTCCTAATATGCTGTTGGTCCTCCCTTTACCACCAAAACAGCTCTGACTTGCCGAGACTCTACAAGACCTCTGAAGGTGCCCTGTGATATCTGGAACCAAAACATTAGCAGCAGATCCTTCAAGTCCTGTAAACTATGAGGTGGATCCACCATGGATGGGTCATATTCCAGCAGATCCCTTGATAGGATTGAGATCTGGGAAATTTGGAGGCCAGGGCAACACCTTGAACTCTTCCTCAAACCATTCCCAAACAATGTGCAGTGAAGAAGGGCACATCATCCTGCTGAAAGAGGCCAATGCCATCGGGAATATCACTGTCACGAAGAGGTACACCTGGTCCACAGCGATATTTAGAGAGGCAGCAAACTGACATCCACATGAGTGGGAGCATTACATTCCATCCACTGGCTTGTCTTCTTCTCACAGTGCGTCCTGGGGCCGTCAATTCCTCTGGTAAATGGGACACACGTACCCAGCCGTCCACAGGATGTAAAACAAAATGTTTTATTGAACCACGTAATGTTCTTCAATTGCTCCAAGGTCTAGTTTCGGGCACTCACGCGCCCACTGTAGGCGCTTTCAACAGTGGACAGGGCTTAGCATGGGCATTCTGACTGGTCTGCGGCAATTCAGCCCCATATGCAGCAGGAAGCGATGCACTGTGTGCTGTGACACGTTCCTCCTGTGACCATCATTAAAAAAAAGCTATGACTTGTGCCATAGTAGCCCTTCTGTCAGTTCAGACAAGATGTGATAGCCTTTGTTGCCATAAGCCTTGGACACCCAACATTTTGTCGCCGATTCATGGTTTGCCTGTCCTCGGACCTCTGTCAGGCACGTACTCACCATTGCTGACCGGGAGCACCCTAAATGACTCTCTGTTTTGGAGATGCTCTGCCCCAGAGGTCTAGCCATAACTATCTAGACCTCACTGAGGTCTTCACTCTTGCCCATTTTTTCCACATCCATCACATCAACTATGAGAACCAACCTGTCAGTTACCGTCTAATAAATCCCAGTCATTGAAATTCTCTCTGTTACAGCACTGTTACAAGATAATCAACATTATTTTATCTAGCAGTAATTATAATTTTGCTTAGTAACCAAAAATAATGTTTGTACCCTTTGACATGTCAGCTGAAACAATTAGGCCTTGCAGACACTCAATTCACAATTTCTCACTGCATGAACCACTGACCTACAGGCATGAACCAACAAACACTGAGACTCATTGGAGCAAAAGCACACAACATTGTGTTCATGAGAATTTTTTTTTTGTAATGTTATTATGGTTTAAGTTTGGCCAAGACTATATGTAATGCTTACAAGAAGTTTTAGTTAGTCAGCAGGTGGCTTAGATGATCAGACCTCTCTCTTGCCACTGTTCCACTTGCACGTTTTAGCTAAGCTTTTTTTTTTTTTTGAACCAATAAATTTTGCCCCACCAATTTCGGACACATGGTGCCACTCCTGCCCTCTTATTTTTTACAGTGAATCATGGAGCTTTTTCAAAAAGCATTTCACAAAGTCAGGATCTTTTCGTTGACCCTGATTTGACATACATTTTTTTCTGTGACAGGACATTTCTGTCATGTCAAGAAAATGTAGGAAAACAAAATCACAAACACTACAAATGTGCAGTTTACCTTTGACAGGGAGTTCCTGAGGGGAAGCCAGCAGCTCAGAGCAACAACACCTGCAAGTTTCTGATGAGTAGTTAAAGCTGTATAAAGAGAAAGCGCACCACCCTAAACACACACACACACGTTCATTTTTGTTAATAATGAAAAGTTGCCTCCAGTACTGCATGTGTACTGAAATTTTAACTATAGCAAATGAACTCATTACTTATGTTCTGCAATATCATAACAATGACAGTGAGTTACTACAATATTTCCCTCTGGAAAACTAATCCCATCTCTGGAAGAAAGAATTATATTGATTTACAGCTTCATTTTATAAACGGAAGAATTCATGAAGGTGTTGTACAAAAATACATGTTTTGCAATAAGATTTACTGACAGAATTCAGCAAAATTAATGTCCAGGGTAACTGACCATACGCTCCAGATTAGATTATGTTGAAAAGGCACAACTTGTGTCACTTTATTTCTCACCTGAGAAAAGCCGCCTAGTACAATCCGATGAGATGGAATTCCATTCTTTACCTCCTGATCAATCAAAGCCTTGACTGCAGACATAAGAGACATTCATTAGACATTCAATATATCTCTAAGCATTTTAAAACTTTTTCTAAACACCAAAGGTAAACATACTGCTTTCTGCAGCTTTTTTGATCCCTGTCTCATCCTCCTCTGCGTCTGGACTCAAACCGATGATGTCAAACCTGAGAGTCAGGACACAGTTTGATGGCATTTTATAAATAGCCAAGAAAACAGCTGCTTTTGGAGAATCTGGGACGTTGTAGAAAGGAAAACATGAAACATAAGCAAAACTCACCAGGAAGGCATTGCCATGTTCATGTTGAGGCTGACTGGCATGACCGGTCTGGCACAGTGAATGAGAGACAGAAAGAAAGATTACAAAAAGCAGCACATTCTCTGTCTTTCAGTAGTTTGCAGTCAATGTTTTCAATGCTATAAAACAAATGTTGTTGAAGATTTAAATATGATGCAAATACAGTGCTACATTACAAGTGTCAAATTAGTAACAGAAAATAAAAATGTTAGATGTGTCCAGAATAACAGAGCTGTAAAGGATTCTGAAATGACTAAGAAAGCTGTTTAACATAAAGTTATAATAAAATAAATATTCAGGATGGCTCATATTTAAAAATTGGTGATCAAATGTCAAAGCAGATAACCCATCAAGGGTTAAAAAAAACCCTTATTTTTTGCCCTCAAAATACGTTAAATAATAAATACACCTTTAAACATACCTTTTTGTAACATGTTCATAATAAAGAAGTGTACTATTTACTATGTATATATATATATATATATATATATATATATATATATATATATATATATATATATATACTTATTTAAGACTTATAACTGCTTTTTATTGATTTTTAAGGTGTTTATAATCTAAGTGATAACCATTAATAAACTAATTTTGAACCATTAACTTTTTTTCTTATTGTAAAGTGGTACTGGAAGAAGTTATTAATTAACTAAAATAACAAAATTATTACAATGACAACTGATTCCAAACGTTTGAATTGTAGTGTAGACCAGTGGTTCTAAAACTGTCTCTCAGGGACCCCCAGTCGGTCCACATTTTTCCTCAGTCCCTATTCATTGGGACTTTGGTTGGAGCAAAAATGTAGACCGTCTGGGGGTTCCTGATGACTGGTTTGAGAACCACTGGTGCAAACCACATTAAAACAGTAGTATGTGTTTGTACAGTGATAATAAGGTGCATTGTACATACGCATGGGGGCAAATGTACTTCACATGAGGGGTCCTAATCCCAGCCATAGCTTCAGCCCAGCCATGCCTGACACAAAAATGAAGGAAAATGAGGTAAAAAAGTTCACTCACTTCATACTTCACAAACCTACAGAGCTTAAGTCAGACGTCTTGCTTACCCTGTGTCTCCCAGGCCATGGAGGAAGATCACCTGTAAATTGAAGAGCATAGCCATGTCACTACAGATTACTGTGGTGTATGGCTTTGTGTATAGCTGAGGTTCCCAACTCTGATGCTGCAGGCGCCTTGTCCTGTACACTGTACTGTACAGGACAAGGCAGCGCTTTTCCAGCTCCAACACATCCTCTTCAACTCAGTAAGGGCTTATTTATGAGTTGATTTGGTGTTTTAGAGCAAGGAAAGCACCAAAATGCGCAGGACGTTGGCACTGCAGGACCATTAGTCAGAAAAACTGATGTATAACATTAAACTGTGTATAATGACACTGTTTACAGCACTACAGTGTGTGTACTGCCTTGTACTCCGAGTAGAGGTGGGCGATATAACAAAAATACAACATCATGACACAAAGTAATTTTCACAAACTATGAATAATTATGATTTATATTCAACACAACTTATGTTACAGTAAATCCGTTTAAAGGGATAATGTCACCATTTTTTTTTTAATTCCACATAATTAAATGGTTACGATGTAAACAAAGTGAGAGTGGTTTGCTGTGAAATGTTCTGTTCTAGAAAAACTTAGTGAGTCAGAATTGTTCAGATTGGTGTTGATAGGAACCAGAATTCCACCTCTGAAAGCTCCCTCACAGAAAGTGATTACACGAAATGGTTATGAACGCATATTTTCATACTTATCACTGTTTTAACATTATCAACATTACATACAAAAACCCAGAAGATGTGAAAGTTCACTGGTGGTTTTGGGTAGTAAATACAATGTCTGTATTTGTGTGGTAGACATGGCGACCCACGGTTCCTCACACCACGACTGTAAAGACATCAGAGTCTGTAACTTTCTCTGCAATGGACCCTTTCATATCAAACCACTCTGAATGACTCTGTTTACATCGCAAAAACAGATTTATGCAAAAATGTTTTAAAAATCAGTAGAATTCCCCTTTAAACAGGACTAATTACATTCTCCTTTTAGTGAAACATGCAGTTAGTAGGGATGCACAATCGGAATCATATTGACCAGAATCCATACTGCTTTGCTCAAAACACACACACACACACACTAGTGCTGTATTTGGAAGCCGCTGGTACACCAAAACCAAAATGCCATAGCATAATTATGTTTTACTCACTGTGCTAAATAGCCAGTCACCTCTTACTATTGATGCAGCATTTTATTTCATTCATGGTATTTAAATAAGCAACTAATGTAAAATGTTAAATACCAATTTGGTCCACTAAAGAGCAATGAATGTTGCTTACATTGTAAGTTTGGCTAATAAAAAGTGCTGGAAATGTGGTAGTGTGTTTCATGTGTTCATTTACTGTGTGAGCCTCGGCTAATAAAAATCCATCAGCCAATTTGGCTGTAAAGAAATCAGAATCAGCCATAATAATTCATGATCCGTGTATCCCAGAAAAGCATGTTGTGCCATAATATTACATAATTTATCATGATAACAATAACAACAAATATCGTCATATATATATATATATATATATATATATATATATATATATATATATATATTATGGACATCAGCTCAGAATTGCAATACCGTTCCCTAATAATGCTCAATGTTAATGTAGTAAAGAACTGACCGTATTATTGTATTTTATTTTACTGTAATAGCACCTACAGGTTATGGTCGTGGTTCTCAACCCAGTGTCGTATTTACTGGTCAGTCTCAGCTCTCAGCACACCTGAACTAAGACATTAAAACAGTGACTGCTGAATGCCTCGTACAGATGTACTGGAATCCAGATAAACGCGAAGAGCTGAGAGCCGTGTGGCGGGCCCTGAGGAGTTCAGGAGGGTGGGCTGAGAAGGACTGCTCTGTGCTCCACTCACTCACACCGACTTACCGCCGCAGTGGCTTTCCGGGCTGCTGGGACTATCGCAGGCAGCGGCGCTGACATGTTATTACCGCACATGCAATGGACCGGAGCTTTACATTCAATAAGAGAAACAAACCCGACACAGCTAGCGAGCTACCGACCACGGCCAGCCAGCCTGCCAGTATAAAAACTGCGGCCGTAGTGCGTCGACACTAAACAAAAACACAACGTCGTGCTGGTCAGACTGATATCAAAGCGAAATGCGCGGCCAGACCGACCGTTTCACAGTTTAGGGAGTTGTAAAGCACGCTAGTAGAGACGCACCGTGACCCTTCACGATAGTGTCCTATACTGACGCAGCCAGCGGGTCTCAGTCCAACCCGCTGTTTCACCGCATATTGGACCGCAATGGAAATAACTGATCCTGGATCAGCACTACTGAGCCAATCAAAACACCTCACCACGCCAGAATTCACACAGGAAGTCCCGCCTTCAGTCCCGCCTTGTTTATGTAAGTGTGTCCTTATTGGTGCATTTGCAGTGAAATGAACGATCCTCAAATGCTATTGGCTCCTCGGATACACGTGTTTGGTTGCTGTGCGGTGGAGTGTGCAGTGAGGACAGAGCTCACAACTCTCACTTTTATCATTCTATTTTAGACAAGAAAGAACAGAGAGGAAGAACAGCGACTTAATACACCTCACTTCCTCTGCTGATAGGTGCATGTGGGCATAATAAGAAACTCAAGTTATGGTAGTTACAAAATGTCCAAAAGTTTGTAGACACCTGCTCAGTCAGTTTCTTTTGAAATCAGGGCTATTAATGGGGAGCTTGTTTCTCCTTTCCTGTAGTTACAGCTGCTACTCTTCTGGGAAGGTTTTCCGATCCTGTTTAGTGCATTCCGCTACAAGAGCATTAGTACGGTCAGGTACTGATGTTGGATGATTAGTTCTGCATCACAGATTCAGCTCCAACTCATCCCAAAAGTACTGGATGGAGCTCCATCACTCCAGAGAACACAGTTACGCTGCCCCCCGGACCAGTACTGGGAACTCTTGTAGCTGACGCTTGTTATTGGACATGGTGACCTCAGGCTTATGAGCGGCTAAGTTTCCTGATCTACTGGCGATGCTTTTCTGTGGAGATTTTGCGATTTAAGTAGCTGCGTCCACTAATAACAGGCATATAGTATTTATATATAATTAGAGTGTCGTGACACTTTGGGTGCATGTTATAATTGCCATTGTGTGAAGACCTGCTTTCTCATCAGTCATGTAGAAGACCAGTAAATCTCAGCTGTGGACTCGTAGGGGATGTAGCTCAGTGGTAGAGCGCATGCTTTGCATGTATGAGGCCCCGGGTTCAATCCCCGGCATCTCCACGAGGAAATACTTTTCGATAACGTCTCTAACTCAGTAGCAAAACCACTACACAAAACAATATATTGAAGCAGACGTGATTTGTTTTTTCATAGAAAACATCTCGCTTCACCTAAAGTTAAGTTTTCCCAATGATTAGCCAACAGCTGGAATTCAGTCTTGAATTATTCTGAGTGGCGCTCTTAAACCAGTATTATGTTAAAGTGTGTAATTAATTTGTACATCGTTTCTAACTACATTGTGGCTGATCGTATGTACCGCCTGGGCGCCTGAAAATATGCACATAAAATTATTTGTACTACATTTTTTGGTCTTGATGAATGTTTTTCCGGGTCGCTGAACCACGTGCTTCTCCGCCATGACAGTCGCCCTTGAAAGGTGCTGTGTGTGAGTGCAGAGAGAGAAATGTCTGTGTCCAGGACCGGTGGAGGGAAAACCCTCGACATAGTAAAGAATTTACCGCGGATAACACTAGCTAACCTTCGCCCAAATCCTGGAGCAAGGAAAAATGTAAGTGCCCGTTCTGTGGAAACGACAGATATTCACTTTAATGCTGCATAGCCTATTAGCCTGTTAGCCGACAGTTTTTGCTTCGGGTAGCCTGTTAAAATGCTAAAATGCGACATCTCGAAAATGTCTGCTGACCGATACATAAAATCTGCTCCAGTGCTGCAACTAGAATCAGCTTATTTACCCCTGCTGCCAGGGACAGTGGCATTATCCACTGTACTCTGCTAGCTATACTGTGCTGTGCTCTGCTGAGCTGTGCTGTACTGTAATAAACTGTACTCCTCCAGAACTGACACCAAGCAAGTGAACATCAGCAACATGCTAAACTGTGGCTCAGAAGTAGTTTCACAGTTAGCTTAAGAGTGTTATAGGCTCCAAAAAAAGAACAAAACTGCTTATCATAGGGCTGCATGATATGTACATAAAATACAATGTGCGATAAAGTTGTTGGATATTGCTATGACAATATGAGAAGAAATAAACTGTGATTTGAAAGCTAATTTCACAGTGTCACTGGCTGAGTATGCAGCAAGTACAGATTCTGTGAATATATTATTTTTGCCGTTCCTTTATTTAAAAGACCATCAATATAAAATCTGTTTTAAGCAAATAGCAAAAAAACAACAAAACAAACAAACAAACAAAAAAATCACCATACCCCATTGTGCAAAGTAATATTAATAAAAAATAAAAAATCTGATTATTTGTCCTGATGTTTGGCATTGCTGATGTTGGTATGAATGTGGTGGAGCCCAGCTCCCCTTACGTCTTCTAGTGTGAACCTGCTATGATGAAGGATCCTATCTTTTGTGCTATGAGTCTTGTCTGTATGAGAAATCTGTCTATGAAATTTTCCCTCACAGATTTCTTGGGGAGGTTGAGAATGACCTATCTCTCTTGAATATTCGCTGTACTATAAAATTTTATGCTGCTTCCAATAAGAGCATTTTCTGAAAGCCTACAGTCATTTGTAGAAGGAGAATAGAATTAGGTTGGTAAAACAACCATAAATATGCCATACTGAACAACAGAAGCAACATAAACAAGCACATGCTGTGAATTTATAAAGTTTAGGCCACTTAATATGGGAGGGAATGGGATAGAGAAATAGTAGCCATTTATCTTTTGCCAGTTCTGGTATTGCCCTGTATCTGAATTATTTTTAGTCTCTTGCATACATTCATATTTACTCTGCTAACATACCCCAGACATTATTTGGCAGTGGTGTCCAGTCTTAGTCAAAGGGTCTGTGTTGTTGCAAGTTTTCATTCCAAAGGAGCAGGAGGATAACTTTTTTGAAGACTGAAACTGATTAAACAAGTGCAATCAGGTGTGCTCCTGTTTTTTTGGAATAAAAACTGCTGCCACATCAGCAATTTCCAGCTGAGATTGGACAACCGTGACAAAAAGACCATCAGTGATACACAGAGCTGCTGAAATAGCTAAATAAGAGAAAAGGAAACGTTAGTTGCTTTTGTGTGTAAAAACATGTGGCTTATGTAGATAACATGTTTACTCACAGGAAAAACGTCGGGGCCGTGGCATGCATGGTGGGAATAAGAGTGGACGAGGTCACAAGGGTGAACGACAGCGCGGGAACCGCCCCCGGCTGGGCTTTGAGGGGGGACAGACCCCGTTTTACTTGATCATTCCTAAATATGGCTACAATGAGGGACACAGGTAAGTAAACACTGCTCAGTTTATGAGCTTTAGATGTCTGCAAAGGAGGATGTTAGATTTTATTTCTCTCATTATTCAATTTTTTTCTACACTTTATTTTAATTTTTCTTAAGCCTTCGGCATCAATACCCACCGCTGTCTCTGCGGAGGTTGCAGTATTTGATAGACGTTGGCCGATTGGACCCCTCTCAGCCCATAGATCTCACCCAGCTGGTCAATAGCAGAGGGGTCACCATTCAGCCACTCAAACGGGACTACGGAGTTCATCTTGTAGATGAGGTGTGTACATACATTTATTTTATTTGACCACAGGGAAAGGGGAATCACTAAAGGACTAATCATTGCTATTTAAAATGGATTCATTTTACCAAAAGGGTGATGAAAGTTTTCAAGATTTGACTGGCCAGACCACGTGACAAGTGTCTGTAAAATTTTCTCAAATTATCATAGCTATCTTGGAGTGAAATGTCATAACCTGAATGTACACATAAGTGTTAGAGGCAGCTCAATAACAGCAACAGCATGTTTAATAAGTAAAATTCTCTTATTCACTAAAAATGCTGTTGTTTGTTTTTGAGGTATTGATGTAGTTTGTTGTACCTTTATTCTCAGTTGTAGTGGGCCTGCATTGTGCATAAAGAAATCTCCATTTTGGCAGTATAGGCCTTGTCTTCTGGTTTTATTATTATAGTCCAATGAGGTCAGTTTGAACAGGACTATTATTACAGAGGAAAGTCTGTGTTCAGCCAATACAGAAAGTCATTCACTCCAAAATTGTCCAGCTCTGGCTTTTAACAGCATCTCATTCGATTGAACATGTCACTGTTGCTTATCCTGATCATATGCATGTTTTAGTGTTTTTCTTTGCTCCCAACACACCTGATTCAACTTGGCTAATGAACAAGCCCTTCCTGAACTGAAGTGTTTGAGCAAGAAAAACCCAAAGATATGCATGACAGAAAGTACTCCAGGACCACGGTTAGGAACCTGTGATTTGGTTTAAAATGCAAGTATGGAGTCAGATTGTCCAGAGGGGGGCAGCAGTTAGTCGCATTTTAGGTGACCCATCTGGTTGCATCAAGAGTTCTATTCTTGACATGACTTAAACTAATGTGCTCATCTGTGTGTCTTCATGTTCACATGACTGTTCAAGGGAGCTGACATATTCTGTGCTAAGGTGAATCTGGAAGTACAGCTGGCATCTGAAGCAGCTATTGCTGCAGTGGAACGCAATGGTGGTGTAATCACAACCAGCTACTATGATCCCCGCAGCTTACGTGAGTCTTCTACACATACAAACATTCTTGCATTCAAGAGCTGCACAATAAAATATACATTCAGTGTGCAATTTCTTTGTAACAGTTGGTTGCACAATAAGGCTGAGCAGTTAATAGTTTTTATATCACAATTTGAAAGAGTGCATTTTTTTCAAACTGCAATTTAGTCGTATCCTATGTTATTCAACATTAAATTAACAAGTTTCAAGTAATTTTAATCTAATAACAGAGCTTGTGAACTTGTAGTCTACCACACTATGTTCAGCATTCATGCCTCAAGCCCACTAAAATGAATGTGGTGGTCTACTTGAGAACAAAGCTTGGAACTTAATGTATAGAATGCAGACACATTTAAATTGCAATCGCAGTTAATTTTTTCCCCAAATCATTTGTTGTCAGCGTGTTTTCAGCTGACAATAAAAGAATACTTTAGCCAAAAATTAAATTTAAACAATTTTCCCCTTACTTTAAACCCTGAAGTTTGCTTCTTTAATTTTGGACTGGAGCTACTGTATCTGTAGGCTGATTTGACCTCATTTGGAGTAAGTACATGTCTCATTTGTTTAAATTAGGTATCAAATGTTTCCTTTAATGATCTAAAGCACAGAAGTTTTTTAGAGATACAGATACTGGCCATTCAGTAGTTCACTCGGGCTAACTTGTGTGTTTGTGTGTGTGTAGAGATCCTCATTAAGCCAGTACCATTCTTCATGACTGGCCAGCCCATTCCAAAACGAATGTTTCCTGGTGAAGACCTCCTGCCGTACTACATAGATGCCAATAACCGAGGTTACCTCGCTGACCCAGAGAAGATCCAGGCCGCCCGACTAGCACTCTCAAAGAAATATGGCTACACGTTACCAGACATCTCAACAGAAACAGCGTGTAAAATGTTAGCGGAGCGGAAAGATCCCCGGCAGATATTTTTTGGATTGGCACCAGGCTGGGTAGTGAATATGGCTGAAAAGAAGATTCTTAAACCCACTGACAAGGACCTTTTGCAATACTACAGTTCATAATGTTTCATGTTACTCAGTGATACCCAAATGTAGGTCTACGTCTTTGAATAATGTTTGGATATGTAAATATGTATTATTGTTTACATTCATTAGTAATAAAATGTCACCATGCTTAACACTTGGCCAGAGAAACATCCCTTCAGTAGAAGTGGACAATATATTGGCGGCCGATGTATTATTTGCTGATAAATGGGAAACTTTTATTATTATTATTATTATTATTATTATTATTATTAGTGATAGTAGTAGTAGTAGTAGCGTTGGTGGTGATGGCCGGTAATTACAACTTCCAGCTCTCTATTTTAGTTTGCGCACACTCTGATGCAACTACAGTCATGCTCTGTGAAGATGTCAATGGTGTGAAAGTTTTTTACCGTTTCAGCAGAGGACAACAGAATTGCAGCTTGCAAGAAATGTTCAGCTGATGAAGAGTGAGAAGAAAAGGCCCTAAAGACTTGGAGCATTGCTAATCTAATTATTTTCAACTTCAGTCCCTATAAAAAAAATATAGTAATACATAAAATCTATAGTAAACTTCTATAGAATTCAAACATTTACCATAGTCTACTACACAATACAACACAAGTATTGTACATTACCATAAAACAGTATTATAGGAATATTATGTGGAGGTGGAAATATAATAGATTATATAAGTACAGCACTATAGAAATCATTTAGTAGTACCAAGTGAAACTTTTTTTGTAAGCATTAGTGGCTAACATTTTTCAGAGTTCAACCTGTCAAACTCATTGCACTTTATATCATCACTGTCAGAACAAAACCTTGTTTCTCCCAAATGGAAACTACTGGAAAAGGAAAAACATTTTTAACTTATAATGGAAGTTAAAGTTAAATATTTTTCTCAAGTAATTTTGGAACATTTCTGTTGGTTTGTATATTTCTATTGGTTCGTGCAGTCTTGGTTCCTCAAACCAGTCCACATTTTTTATCCATATTCATCATGTGTAATGTTGGAGCAAAAATGCATTATATTTTTGTTTCATTCAAAATTATATAACTGGGATGATTCTTAGGGCCCCTAAATGCTCAGAAACAGCCATGTTTGAACTTGATTAAAACCCAGATAATAGTGATTAGTTATCAGTATTGGCCACAACAAGGTGCTATACATTGGTTATAGTTATCAGATTAGACATTCCATATCAGTGCATCCCTACATGTTGTTGCCAGAATTATTTGCTGCTTTTCTTAACGGAGAAAGTAGCCTTTCCGTAGCCCACGGAGAGATTGTGGAGGAAGAAATGTGGAGCGGAGCAGGTGAGCGGGAAACGGGAAAAATAAGAGCCTTCAGGGCCTGAAAACAGGAACCAGCTGCGTTAGTGCGGGTCAGTTTTGTGTGTGTACGAACAAGGAGAGGGGCTGCGAGCGTAGTAGCCCATTACTCACCTACAGCTGTATCCGGGCCTCTACAATCAACCGGCACGGCAGCACCTCACTAAAACCACCACCCAAAACCCAGGCAGAGTGACTCTCAGACACAAACACTCAGGGTCTACGGAACTGTCCCATCACTTCAAAAGCATTTTACAGACACATTTCCTGAATGTTTTCCAAAGGACCATCATGGTTGCTTTATACAGTATCCTCAGGCATAAAAGAACGCCTGCTGGAGGCATTCTTCAAATTCTTTTCGAGCTCCAACATAAAATGTAAAGCCTCCAAATGAAGTAAATAACTCTGTTGAAATGATGTGTGATGAGTCATACACATCCTACTGATAACATTATGAATCAGTTCAATAATTGTGTTATCTGCCCAGTTGCAGGGGAAAGTGTTCAGGATAAAATATTTCTGTGATAAGAACCCATTTCAATCACTAGTTTGCATGTTCAAGCCTAAATACCCTCAACACCAAGGTCAGTAGAGACACATTTAGCAGGTCTAGGCTACACAGGCCTGTTAGATGACATGTTTCAGGCAGATTTGTAAGGGCACATTAATCTTTCTTTTGAGATGTTTTATTGTATTTGTGAGGTTACTACTGCCTATATATAGCACACGCTTACAGATATTGTCCTGAGGGACTTCAGTCTCTGCTGCTGTGCTGAACTTTATCGAAGGAAGCACATGTTTGTGTTGTTGGTCTGTGTGTGTGTGTGTGTGTGTGTGTGTGTGTGTGTGTGTGACCAAGAGCAGAAATGTGTTGCCCGCTTTGTATAAACCAGCTAATAATTCTCTCTCTCTCAGCTCCTGAACAGGATGCAATTGCCTCATTTTTGTTCTTTACTACTGCAGCAGAATCTTCTATTTTTCAAGGCTGCTGAAGATTTTCTTTCAAAATAAATGACTAGTTTTTATCATATCCTTATAGCCTTGTGGTTGACTACCATTTTATACTCTAATATTTGAGCTCATTAATGATAACTTTTTCTTTTTTTGTCTGTGAAACAGAAGTAATAAATCTTACAATGTCCATTCTTTTCACATGTACCTTTGTATATAGATGGAATCTGTAAATCAGTGTACATAATTTTTCAGTCCTAAAAGGAATGCGAATGTGTGGGCAGTGTGAGGCTATGAGGGGCAGAAAGGGCAGGAAAAGAAGGCCGAGTCCTTTCAGCCCAGTGTAAGAGTGTAAATAAAGCAGAATCTCAGGAAAGCGACTCACAGTCAGTGTTTATGAGAGCACACCACAGCTTATCTACAAAGGAGCAGAGAGGCAACGCGAGGGCGCTGAGATTGGAGCACTGAGAACACGGACCCGCACTCAGTGTTTGAGATTGGGTGGTAAAAGTTCATCTGAGCACATTTTTTGCAGTCCTTACTTGCGAAATGAAATGAAGGCTTTTATTCGATGCAGAGCTATAGAAGCCAAAAAATTATCTGTATGCAGACTTGACTGAAATCTGGTCAGATGCCAAATATGGGATTGCACTGTAAAGTTTTACTGTAAACTTTACACTACTTTGCTGCCAGAGATATCAGAAAAATAAATGTACATTGTAAAGATGGTTATTTCACATTTCGTCAGTTGCTATTTATAGTACATCGCTGTTTTTGCTAGGCTGTTTACTCTTCACATATTTTTCTCTTTACTGACGCTCTTACTCAATCATATACAGTGCTATGCAAAAGTTTGGGCACCTCTGTCATATACAAGTGTGTTCTCTATAGATGTGTTAACTTATTTTCATTTTTACAAAATCAGCATAACGTAATTTAAAAAGTGTTGTTCAAACTTTCGAATGTGACTGTATTTCAAAGGTTACAGCGGTTCCAGTAGATTTTTAAACAATTTAGCAAAATTTCTGCATAACAGTTAAGATGTAAACAAAGGATAAGATGCTTCATGCTAAAAAACGTCAGAATTGTTTACAGCAGTAGTGAGGGAAACTAGATGTCCACAGCCTTTAATGATCTCAAAATGCAACCACACAGAAGGTTATTACACAATATATATCTATATATATATATATATAAAGAGAGAGAGAAAGAGAGAGAAATACACATGGGGTGTTGTAAGGCAATACAGTCCCCAAAGAAAAACTCTTTTTTCCGATTTACCACTATTTAATACTATCAATTTTACATAAAAACTAAATGTAAGTTTTCTGGTGGTTTTGGATAATAAATATACTGGCTAAACTGGCATTGTAAACATCGAGACCCCTGGTTCCTATCACCACCACTGTAAAGACATCTGAGCCAGTAAGTTGCTCTACAATTAACCATTTCACATCAATCCACTCTCAATCACTTTTTTTACATCTGAACAGTTGAATTTATTCAGAAAGTCTGAAATATCAGTGAAATGTCTCTTAACGTGTACCACATATAGCTGATAATGCCACTTATACACAGCTGAATACAAAATGGTAAAGTACTGTAGATAGATTATACTGTAACTATTAAGTACTTAAGTGTTACGTTTTCAATTTCATAGAAATTTTACTGAACTTACAGTGTAGACTGACCAGTTTAAAAGAGCTTAATCACCTAGACTTCAAATTCATTTAGCCTGCAGTAGATCAGACAGAGAGAACCTCAGCTTAATGTGACAACGCAGTGTCTGATGGAGAAGAGTTTTATCTGCCATACCGATCTCCTGTCTGAGTGGGCCATTATTAGCTCTACTGTTGTAGCCTAATTAAATCTCAGAAGCCAGACCCAAAATAATGCCAGACAAAGGTGAATGGCAGGCTGTGTAAAATCTTTGGCTTTACTTATTTGTGTCAGACATCATGCCCCCTCACTAATTAACTGTGTACAATAGTTGATTAACTAACTAAACTAACTTGAAGTCTGTAATTCTGACCGGACGTAAGCAGGGATGGTTATGATCTTGTGAGGCCCCTCCTGGCCAAAAGTCTTTGGAGGCTCCCAGTAAAAAATAACATTTGTTTTGAAAATAAACAGTAAAACAAAAATGATTAATATGCAATATGCTTCTAACCATGGCCTGGTAGATTTGAATTATAATTTCTTCTCTCTTTCTTTGAAGCCAAATCATGTTGTGAAAGGTTGGTTTAATGCTAACACCACTATCACACCCTGTCCAAAACATCCTATTAGAATGGGATCCACATCCCATGAGTCAATAATATTACAAAACCTGATGGCCCTGTGAACAAACTTCAGATGATTTCTTCATGTATTTCACATTTTTTAGTCATTTGAACATACTGAAGGGCTATTATTCATGTTCATCTAATGTTTACATCTGCACTGGATACTGCCAAGTATTTGGGTCACCTCAAATATAGTGGTCTAAGGTCCCCAGAGACCCCTGGTAGTCAGAGGCCTCCGGGCACTGGCCCCAGTGGCCGGGTCACTAGTCCATATCTGCACGTAAGCCTGAAGAGCATTTGTGAGAGAGTGAATTCATGTATTGTGATATTGTTCACTTGACGCTGTAGCTATTCTTGTTCCTGGTTATTTTATACTAGCTTGTGTGTGTGTGTGTGTGTGTGTGTGTGTGTGTGTGTGTGTGTGAGCGATGTGGGAACAAAAAGTTCTTAAAGTGACAACAAAATATAAACACAGTAAATTCTGACATTCTGAAATTCTGAAATATAAACATCTGAAATTCTGGCATACCCATGAAGATTCATATTATTGTATTTTATTTTAAATCCACCTTTGGCTTAAAAGA